CGCGCTCATGGGCCCTTCATGGGCCAATTTCGGTTGACTCCTGCCTTCGAGGATGACCAAACCGAACCGCCTCCTCCTCCTCCTCCTCCTCCTCCTCCTGTTTTTCTTTTTCTGCCTTGCTGACCTATTGTTTCTGCTCGTGCTCGCCCTTCTCCTGCGCATCCTTTTCTTCCCCCTCTTTTTTACCTCTTTTCTCCTATTCCCCTCCCTTCCCGGTTATCCAGCCAAGCGGCGGGAGAAATCGCGCCGTAGAGGCCCTTGCGGCATTTCGTCGGGCACAGGTGGCCAAACGACTTCGATTTCTGTGGGAAGCCCGCGAAATTCTCCAACGTGCGCTCCCCCACCCGCCCTGGAGGAGCGGGACAGGGAGAAAGCAGGGGAGGCCCAAGAAAGGAAGGGAAATGACGCCAAGGCAGAGCAGTGGGAGGAGTAGAATAATGAATATGAGGAGGAGGAAACCTCGTGGACGGCGACTCTGCGCCATGCTCATTTTCTCCCGGCGCTCTCTGCCCAGAGCTTTCAGCTCATGCCAAAGAGAAGGAGTGTGAAAAACTGGGTGGATAGGCTGCGGCAGTCGGTCGAAGTTCATCAGAGCCGACAATGCCGAGGTGCATTCCGGCTCGCCCGACTGGCCTCATCGTTCGGCCAAACTGTGCATAGGAACGTCATCGGTGGCACGCACTGGGTGACCGTTGGTGAAACCTTCCTGGGTCAAGGCAAGTTGTGGCCATTCGCCCACGCGCTCGCGCGCCATGCTGGCATGGCGCGACGAGACGTAGCCCGCCTGGCGCAACTCATTGAAGTCTGTGTTCGCCAGTGACCACATCATCACTTGTCGCACCCATGTCAGGAGAAGGGAAAAACATGCGAGATTGGTGCTCAGCCCCCCAGGTGAAAAATTAACGCACATTGCTGCTGCCACGGCCTGCGTCCACGCAAACGATGCAGCTTGTGATAGCAAACGTGCCTACTCCGATGGCATTCCGTCTGGAGTGTAGTTCCCTCCGCGTGTCGTAGAGGTGCTGGGGGCCGGGGTCCTCGAGCGGCGTTGAGTGGGCCAGCCGAAGATAGTTGCCTCGGATGTGCTCTTCCGCGTGAGCGCATTGGGCGTCTGCTTCTGTCGTGAAAATTTGTGGCGGTCGCAGCGCTCGGATCATCCCGCAACGTAATCACGGGAATGTTCTTCGTACGTCGGGTGGTCACTGTACTGAGAACCGCCGGTTGCGCGATCGTTTACAGGAATGCGCGTCCTGCCCGGCTGGCGGGTCTGAAAAGGTAAAGCGAAGGGTCGGGTCCCAAGGCCTGTGGCTCGGAACGATGGAACCCCAGTTGCCATGCCTTCCACTGCATTACCCCGAGGGCTTGAGAACGCAATTCCCGTGCTTTCCACTGCATCCCATCTCGGCACCGGCGACGATGTCGCCGGATGCCTCATGCATGATTGCCCCCCCAGGCTCTACTCAATCCCATGGAACTCGGGACCTTGTACTGACATTGCATACGTGAACGTTGTGTCGAGCAATTGTCTAACACTTGAGGCTGCCCCCATAGGCAAAATCATTGACGATCTGGGGTCCACAAGCTAAGCCGCTTGGACACAGTCCGAGCGTGCCCGGGATGGGTCGCGGAGCGGTCCTTGTAGATCTAAATGATTTTGTCCTTGATGAAACACTGGTTGTGAGCGTTCTCGGTCGCTGGTCATGGCGGATGGGCGGATGCCCCGAAGGACCCTCGAGCAACGTTTCTTGCCATGGTGACGTTGGAGGCGGTGCGTGCGCTCCAATTCGCGGAGGGGACGACATGCACGAAGGCGCAGATATTGAAGGCGGTTGGCCAACGTCGAAAACGGCGGAGGGTGGAATCCATTGCGGTCGACGCGAGGCAAGACATGACGAACGTGGTGGGAGCAAAAGTGAACCTGCTCCGTTGCAAACTAGATATGAAGATGTGGAAAAGAAAATGTATGTTTCAATGCCCTCATGCGGGTGGAATGGAATCTGGTCAGCGGGAACATACCGTAAGGCGCGTCGAAGGCTGGCACGGTGCACTGGTCAGGCCCTGAGCCAAGACAGTGCAGCGGGCCAGCAAAGGTGAGAAACAGGGCACTGGACAAGGAACCACCGTTCGAGGAGGAGGACGTTGAACAGGGGAAGGAGGAGGAAGAGGAGGAAGGGCCAATGTAAATCGGAAACTCATCAACGATGTTGGAATAAACCTTCCCTCCGAAATCCTTTTCCCATAGCCCCCTACAAGGGTTCACTTCCAATGAAGGAAATGCCTCGCTCGCAATCAACCGTATGAAGGTCCTGACGTGCGCAACAACACCATGCTTATTTTTTCAACGCTCCAATTCAACCTGATTGTTGCGTTTTGGCGATCCTGAATCGCACCAGAACGGCATCCCTGGGACTTCAAAACCATGAATCAACATAATTATTGCGCCCTGACAATCCCAATCCTGAATCCTTCCACAACACCATTCTTGGTACGTTTAGCCATCAGAATCAACGCACTCTTGCGATTTTTTGACAACGAAATTGCGCGGCGCTGAATCGAGAATAACGTTTTGAAAACGAGCCGCCCTCGATCCGTGACACTCTTGCAAAATTTGAGTCGACTGCTCGCGGCGCTAAGGCGAGAGCCAAATTTTCAAAAAAACCACCCGCCGTCCATCTGTTCAAGCCTCACGCTCATACGTTGTAAGGAAGTCTCAGGCGAAACGCCCGGCCCGCCCTTCGGACTGGCCTCGGGGTCCGACAGGGAGGAGTTGTTCGTAAGGAAAAACAGCGGCGGAGGAGGAGGAGGAGAAGGCGGGAGAAGAAGTAACACACACAAGGGAAACGTACGAGGATGCCAAAAGAAGCTGTAGCTGGTCGGGAATGAAACATGATGAAACAAACGGGGAGGAACAACCATATTCGAGTGGCGCTGTAACACAGCATACCAGAACGATCACAACGTGAGGAAACCGGCTCGTGCAACTTCCTGGTGCAGGTACTAACTGACATGCAGTTTCATCAGCGAGGTCAGTCCAGAAACAAACACTGTGAGCATGGCCGCATGAACCACGAACCACCATGCACGCAATTGATGTCTATTCACAGCTCGTCATCGACAAAACCAGGTTACCGAACCATCGATTGCTGTTTAAACGAGAAATGTTGTCTGCGGAAGTGCGTACTTACACATTCGGTCACGTAGTGTAAACTACCTGCCAGCGCAGGGACCATCACGTTATGTACAACGGCCAGAGAACATTACACTTGACTAAAGTAGAGGACGCACACCAAGGGCATATCCACACAGGATATATACGTTGTACGAACCCCACGCCAATATGCCAATCAACAAGCAACGCATAAGCACTAACTTTGGCCAATGGAATACCCGAGGGTTTGCCAAGTTTGACCGTCATCGTTGGCTACTGCGCATGTGTGATACCACCAGCCGTCTGGACGTACAGTCAAAACTGATAGTAAGGACGCGCGGTAAAGTTGCAAGGCGCTTGGACGCCCATGTCGAGGCTCTTCGAGCGGGACTGGCAACCGACAGTGGTTATGGATGGACGGACAAAGCAAGGATGTGAGGGTACCCTTGGAGAGGCTACCCATCCTTATCATGAATTTCAACTGTAGGTGGTTTAATGAGTTTGTTACGCGAACCTGATTCCTCCTCTTTGGAGTGGTTTACCCCTCCCCCTCTCCCCTCCACTGGGTCTGGACGGAGAGCTTCGCGAGGAGTTCGAGCATCCAGTATGGTCCAAACTGCATCGATGTAGCCCAAGATGGTCTCAAAGATGGCTTGCTACAGCCCAATCTGGCTCACAATGGCGTTCCGCATGCCTCCAATATGCCACGGAGCTCTCTAAGGAAGCCCCCGAGAAGCCCAAAGCCTGAATAACAGAAGGGAATTCAACTATGTCAGCCTTCTCGCCTTTTCGCTTGGTCTGAATCCTCAAGATGGCTTCAAGATGACCTAAGAGATCCCCAAGAAGGGTTACTAAAGAGTCCCAGTGCAACCCTCCTCCACCTGTGTCGCCCTGTTTTTTGGTCGATGGCCTCCAAGGTGACCCCAAGCTGGCCCCGATAGAGCCCTAATACGGCTGGAAGAGGCGCCCAGAAATCTTTAACTGAACCAGTGTTGGCCCTTGGCTTCACTATATGCTCCTCTACGCCCCTCCTCCCGTCACCTCGTCTTGGCATCAGTTCTGGAACGGCTGGGGATACGCCATGAGTCACGCAATTATCACCACGATCATAATGGATGAGACGCCACGTCCATCCAATGCACGAGACGCCACGCCACGCCTTAAGGGCAAGCGCGAGGGTGTAACATCATTTGCAAGCCACCAGCAAGAACGCGCTAAACGAAACCTAGGACCGATCTCTCCGAAACTGCTTGTGGGATGTCTTGATCGGGATTGCCCCGTCGCGGCGATCAACACTTACGCCATATTGAGTGCGGCATATGCCCGAACGCGGACATATTGGACGTGCCACGCTGCCCACGCTGAACCCGGGAGAGCGACGTGGGGTGTGACTTGTGCGAACCGCTGCTTTGAGCAATCGGAGTACTGAATGAGGATGAAGCGGGGGGAGGGAGGGAGGGGGGACGGAAGGCGGAGAGAGTTAGGAGGATGGAGTAGGGAGCGAGACGGCTACATGCAACATTGAACATAGACAGGGACGATTTTCTGGTGTGCGGCTTGCCGCTCGCCGCGTGCGATGCGACCACGATGGCATGCATGCTTGGGTTTGTCCTCTCCATCCCCCGCTCCGCGAACGCCGCGCGTCAAAGGCCAAAGGCGTCCCGGGCCCAAGGTGCCCCCAGCTTTGCGCTCCATCCTGGAACTCCTGGGGCCCTTCTGGGGCCTCGTCCGCGGTGCTCTGGGGGCCGTGGAGGGGGGGGAGGGTTCTCTGGAACTCTTGGGGACACCGTGGGCCAGGGACGCTTCTGGCAGCACCCTGGAGGACGGGGGGGGGCGGAGGATCGCTAATCCCCACAAGGGGGTGGACGAGGCGGCACTGGGGGGCGCGCGGGCGCGGCCCTTTCCGAGGGCCGCCCGGGGAGAGTCAGACCAGGCCTTGACCGAGCGTACTTGTGGCTCGGATATACTGCGGCCCGCTGCCCGGGCCACGCCCGGGGAGAGTCAGACCGGGCCTTGCACGAGCGTACTTGTGGCTCGGATGTGCTGCGGCCCGCTGCCTGGGCCAGGTGCCCACTAGTGAGGCTGCGGCGAGGCGCTGGCTGGCACGGCACGGCCGAAGTGGCTTGAAGCGTGGGCGGTGGCCAACATAGGAGGGCGCCAACCATGCACCTGTCCCGATCCCGGCCTGGTCAATCCTGGGGCCCAGATCGGTGGGTACGTTCTCCTGGCCAAGACAGAAGGGCGTACAGTCAACTCGTATCATGAAGATGCGCGGTAAAGATGTAGCGGCCTTGGGGGGCCATGTTCGCGTTTTTCGAACGAGGATGGCCAGCGAAAGCCGCTAAGAGGGGCAAGGATGCAAGGGTACCCTTGGGATGATCGCCCATCCTTACTATGCGGCTTGACTGTACACCGATCCTGGGCCCAGGAGGGGCCTGGCCAGGGTCGGTGTGGGTGTACACTTGGCTCCGACAAAAAGAATCCTTGGACAGTCTCACGGAGAAATACTCGCAAGTGCGTGCAATTACCGTGTGACGCCCTAGCCCCAGAGTGGTCTCACTGGGACCTCAGACCACCGACAATGACCTCCAGGAGACCCTGAGAAGACCCTGAGATGATCCCGCAACGTCTGAAGGTGGCTTCAAGACGGCCCCTAACGCAATTGGAACCCTTGAACTTACCATCGTACGCCGCATCGATCCCAGCACGCGGGATCCGCGAGCGACCTGGGATTCTGTTTTCCCTTCTGTTTGGATGGGCTGAACCAAACTTGCATTGCTTGAAAGGGGCCTCAACTGGGCGCGATCCCGCCGGGCCCACGGCAGAAGAATGCATTGCTAGGCTTCTACGGGGGTAGGGGGTTCGGAAAGGGCCTCACCAACTTCCGCTGTACTCTGCAAACCTTCTGCCGCCTTCCACCTCGGTTCTGCTTCCGTCGGCTTCCGCGGACGTCAACTACTTTCGCCGTCTTCCGCACGCCTTTCGCCGTCTTCCGCCTCGGTTCTGCTTCCGTCGGCGTCCGCTGGTGATCGTCGTGGCAAAATTGAGGGAACTTTCATTGGGCCGAGGAGAACGCTTAATCCTCCTCTTCCTCCTCCTCCTCCTTCTCCTCCTCCTCCTCCTCCTCCTTCTCCTCCTCCGTCGATGTAGTTGGCGCCCTCCGATAACACCAGAGATTGCCCACAACCAGCAGCGGCCACTGCTCGGCAGGCGACGCGTGCAGCGTCCGCGATGGCACCGTCGGCGAATCCTCCTTCGAACCCTGCGGCCGCCTCTGCCCCCATGTCGATCGTATCGATCTTTTTTTTATGTCGATCGTATCGATCTTGAGGGCCTGAGTAGGGACCGCAGGGCGGCAAGGAAAGATGGCACAACCACCAGCAGCAAGAGCCTCGCGGTGATGTGGCTCCCTTGTCTCAAGGCACCCCGCTCGCGACGTCCCCGGCCACCAGCTCGGGGAGGCATCGTGTACTTTCTGACTGGACGTGGCTCGCTGGTGGTGCTGTTCTCCTCCCCCTGAGCGGGTAGAAGACAGATCAGGGACATATGTGGGAATGAGAAAGAGGACAATGAGCTCTGCCAGCGTGCTCCCTACACCGCGTCGAAGACGTCGAAGTTGCACTCGCTATCCTTGCTGTTGAAGCGCACGAGCAACCCTTGCTCTCTTGGCGTGCGGTTCCCGCGGTTCAAGCACGGAGAGGCGGCCCCCTGTTGGGTGACAGAAAGGCCCAGAGGCGCCCTGGAGCATGGGCCATCTATCTCACACCCAAGAAACACCGACTGGGGAACTTCCTCCTCCGTCTCATCCTGCTTCTAATCATGATGCATCTCCTCCTCCTCTTTCTCCTGTATCGTCTCCTTGTTCTTCTTTCTCCTCCTGATCCTCATCCCACCCCTCACACTGCTCCTGCTCCTGCAACTGCAAATGCTCTTGATGAACTGACTGCCTCTGAAGGTCCTCATTCCTCACCCTCCTTTTCTCCTCCCCCTCCTCGTCACGCTGCTGCTCCTCATCGTGATCCTCCTCATTTCTCCTCATGTGCACCTCCTCTTGCTCCTTCTCGTCGCAGCCTTCCCTCTTCTTCCAGCCCGTCTTCCTTTTGAGCAAATCCTCGTCGTAGCATTGTAGGGCGGGCCATTTTTTGCGCCTGAGACTTCGCACTAAATCATGATCCCGGTAGGTCTGACAGTCTCATCCTCCTCCTCCACCTCCACCTCCGCCCTCCTCCTCCTCCTCCTCCGCCCTCCTCCTCCTCCTCCTCCTCCTCTGCCCTCCCTTTTCCGCAGTGCCGAGGCGGCGTAACCCAAACCCGCCACGACGTCCTGGCCCATTGCTCGAGCAGCGCCCAGCCGTGGCGACGAGGAGCGCCCCCGAAGAGAACAACCATTCGGATCCAGGAAGAGGATGAAGAGGATGAGGAGGACGTGGGCTTTCTCCCTGTCCTCCTCCAACCAAGCTGCTCTCAAACCCAAATCCCGCCATCCTTGCAATTGTGCGATGCGTGCCGGTATGTGACTGTCCCAGGCCCCAGAAGGGGCCTCCAAATATGAACAACCAGGAAGTTCGAACATGCTCCTCTTCGATTCTCGTCCTCCTCCTCGTCCTTCGGTCGGGTGCACGACAACATGGATAACAGATCCGTCGATCTGGCGCGTTGGCACCATATCCACAGATCGGAGAACACACACCCCGAAATATGGAACCAATGCCGCCTAATCTTGCGACGATGCGCGTCAATCTTGTATGGAACGGCGCCCGTCGCCAAACCACGCCCTTCAATCCACGTTTGCTCCTTTTTTTCCTCGTCCCCCTTCCCGTCCCCCCCGAAAAAGGACGGTGACGACGACGATCCTCCTCCTCCTCCTCCTCCTCCTCCTCCTCCTCCTCCTCTTCCGATCCGCCTCCTCTTTCTCCTCCGAAGCTCCTCCCTCCCCGCCCAGAAAGACGACGGCGAGACGACGACGACGGCGAGACGACGACGACGAAGACGACGACGACCGCCTCCCATCCGTCCTCCTCGTCGTCGTCGTCGTCGTCGTCGACCTCCTCCTCGTCACGACGACGCCGTTCACCTCCGCTTCGGGCCCGGCCCCGCTCCTTGGTGTGCAAGGACCTCGGGCTCGAGGCCGCGCTGCGCGCCGCGGGGCTGCCCGTGGCGCTGCTCACCAAGCTCCTCGGGATCGACGATGATGGCGACGATGACGACGACGATCATGGTGATTGTAAGGATGATGGTGATGACGCTGACGCTGACGCTGATGCAGCTGATGATAGTGATGATGACGATGATGCTAATGCTGATGCTGCTGTTGTTGATGATGTTGATGATGATGAGGATGAGGATGATGTGGTCCGGGGCCAGAGCTCTGCCACTTGTTCGAGGGGCGCCACGCGGGGATCGATGCCGCTGTCGGCCAGCACCATTTCAATCGCTTACGAATGGAATTGAGAGGGGAGGAAAAGGGAAAGACTTGAGAATGGATGCGCGGCCCGAAAAAGAGCCACAAATAGCCGCGGGCAGCATAATGTGGCCTGGTCCGAAGCCTGAGCTGTGTTCTTTGTGCGAGGGGCGCCAGGCGGGGACCGATGCCGCTGTCGGCCGGCGCCAGGTACTATGGCTAGTCCACCCCACAGGCTTATAACCCCCAAAATTACCTGAGTTATCAGCGGGAGCGGAAGCGGAAACAGCGGTGCGGGGGTCGCCCGCGCCCGGGCCCCTGGAGGGAGGTCGGGCTCAGGGGAAAGCGAATTTGCAAGAATCCGTCGGCGTGGTGGAAATCAGCAAAAAACCTCACCCTGGCGGTTGTTGTGCAGTGAGATACTGCACGCGCACATTGGCAGTGGGGGAAAGAAGGCACCAAGCTCAATCGCTGATGCGTTTGCACGGACGGCCGGGAAGGCGGGTGCCCTGAAGGGTCCAACTCAGAAGCTTGGTCGACCACCGCCCGTCGGTGCGACTCTCCGTTTTCTCTGTCAACGCCTGTTTCCTGGACTGCCGCTGATCAACCCAACTGCGGTATCCACCTCGCCGGAAAGTGTTCCCAGCCCGATGCATTGCGCGGACAATCCAATCCACCCATGGTTCCGGCTCTACGCTCATATCCGCGAGCTCATGTTGAATCCGCCGCGTGGGAATGATCTTCCGCAACATCCGTCTTTCTGCCGTCCGGAGCCGCTTCGCCCTCTCTGCGGTCATGGTCCAGCAACCACTGCCGTATAGTACGGTTGGTGTGATCACGGCGCTGAACAGGCGCACCCTGTACCTGAGCGGGTAGTGGATATTCGTCAGCTCGTGCTTGTACTTCCCGAAGGCTGCCCACCCGCGAGAGATCCGATGCTGTATCTCCGCGCCGTGAGTGTCACAGAAAGAGACCAATCTTCCCAGGTACGCTGTGGTCCCAGCAAAAGGCAATACATCAATGAAGTCCTCGCCCACCTTCACGCTTCCTTGCCTGAGAACGCCCTTCCTGACCTCGACATTCGACAGAGTCTTGGTCTTGCCCGCGTGGAGCTTCAGCCCGTGCGCGCCGGCCACTGACTGCAGGTCACACAGCATGTGTCGAACGTCTGCCCTTGTTGAGCCTATCAGCAGTACGTCGTCGGCATATCGAAGGTGGGTCAAAAACGTGCCGTCGATGCGTATCCCACGCCGATGTTTGCGCCAAGTTTGTTTCAGATCTCTCATGATATGTTCCAGGAGGGAATTGAACAGAGCTGGACTCAGCGGATCTTCCTGCCGCGTCCCTCTCTCGAGGCGATATACTCGACTGTTGCAGTCGGAGCACACCTTTAGTCTGGACACGTATTGCAAACGATCGACGCTGTTCGCCATCCTGTCGCAGGCGAATCGCACAGTACAGTAAGGACTATGAAACGCAGCGTTGCACGCCTGTCTGTCGAGCGATGGGGAGCGATGGGATGCCCAACTCGCCAAGGCGTCTTTTGTTTGATCTACAGCACCGCGAGGCAACAGGTGAACATGTCAGAAATATGGGGGCCAACATCTAACACGTGACAACCAACAATACAACATATTTTCTCACACTTCCGGCATACATACGCGATCGAAAACAGCTTCGGCAGAGGCTTGACCCACGCGGTCGGCGCAAGACATGCTGTGCCACAAAAGCGAAGCGTGAGGTGAGGATGGCACACGACGGCAGGCACCCTTCTAGAGCTGCGTTCAGACAGGATGCGCATGTGCCAGGCGTTGAAAAGGTTGGCTATGGTCACCGCCCGAGCTCTGGCGTTGGTCAGTGAGGGCAGCGTGTTGGGATGGAATTTAGACCGCAACGGCGGGGACTGGCGAAGAAACGCGGCGTTGTCTCAGGGGGACGTAAGACCCGGGTACAGGGGACTCGGAAATGCCCGACGAGGTCGTCAAAAAAATGACGAGGCCGAGCCTGCATTTTGACGAGGCCTCCCGCTGCAGACATCCCACGAAACTCCTCCTCGTCAAAATCCGAGGCGCGGTCGTCAAAAAACGATGGCGAACCCGAGTCCTGGCAAACCCAGGTCTTACGCTCCCCCGATTGTCGGGGGCCCGACTCGCACGCGCGACATGTAACCAGAGCGAGCCCTACCCAACGCTGACGGCTCACAGCTGGGTCAGGGATGCCGTCGGCGGGGCGCCGCCTCGGGTCGAGGCGCAGGGCGCCGAAGCCCGCCGGCCTCACGGCGCGAGCCGCTCCGCCGCCGCCGCCGCAGAGCGCCGGCGCGGGGCAGCACTTGTGCTGCGTAGCTGCGCGCCTGGCTGACTACCTACCAGACCACCCCAACCCAACCCGAAGACCCGAATTTGACCCGAATTTCGGGTTGGGGGGGGTACGGATACCATGTGTTTTTTCAACGTTCCCCGACCCCCCCCCACTGGAAATGGAAGGCAAATTGAGGGCTTCGGGTTGGGTTGGGGTGGTTTGGTGGGTGGTGACTGGCGGGCCGCCGCAGGCGAGTCGGGCGACGGCCCGCCGCGCCGTGATCTGCGGGGGCGGCGCCTTGGCTGCCGGCAAGGTCGGCGCTGCGGCCGGCGGCGCCAGCAGCGGGGCGACGCCCGTGGCCGTCGCCTGCAGGATCAGGCCCCGCAGCTTGTCGCCCACCTCCTCGCCGAACGTCGCGACGGCTTGTCCAGGGCTCGCGATGCGCTGCTGCGTCCGAGCCCGTTTGGCGTAGCGGAGGAGGCTCTGGTCCGCTGCTGACACTTGCTGCATTCAGACAGGTCAGCACGGTTCCACCACTGCTCTCCCTTGTTGTTCCAACAATGCTTGCATACCCACGGCGAGGCCCACGCCTTTCGAGCCTTCTGGTGCCCCAAGAGAATAGGGCCTCCAGCTCGTCCCTGCTGCGGTACCATGTGGCGCGGCCTTTGGGCGTCGCCGACGTCGTGTCAGGGTGAAGGATGGCGGGCAAGCCGCGGTACTGTACCGAACATGCGGGATGTGTCGTCGCACGGGGCGACACCAGCGGTGGGGGCCGCCCCTCCCCCTTGCCAGGCGGCTCCTGTCCTTGAATGAAACACTACGGGCTTGAGCAAAAGTGGTTACGGACAGGACAGGTGGGAGTGCGAGACGGCTTGCGGGCGGGGAGGGTGTCTTGACCCCTGCCCCCGACCCCTGGATCTGGACGAGGCGTCTTGCGAGAGGTTGGGGCGCCCGGGATGGCTTCGGCAAGGAGGCCCAACTCATAGATTTCACGACGATGTTGGCTCAGTGTTGGCCTCCCCGGGGGGGGGCTATTTGAGTGCCCCTCCTTCTTTGACCGATCACTTCCAAGATGGCCCCCAAGGCTCCCAAGAGTGCCTCAAGAGGCGCCCAAGAGGCGCCAATAGCCCCCCAAGACGCCCCCAAAAGAATCCCAAGAGACCGGGAGTGGCCCGAAGAGGCTCCCCCGAGGCACCCAAGATGCTCCAAGAGGAACCTGGGACCACAACGAGGACCCCAAAACACTCCTACAAGCTTACAAGGAACTCTCAATAGACATCCGAAGAGACTCCAAGAAGCATCCAAGAGGCCTCTGGCCTTTCTGTTCGCCCTCTTCCTATTCCTCTTCATCTTCCTTTTCCGCCTGATCCTCCTGCTCGCTCATCCCCTCCTCCATTCTCCCTTCTCCCTCCTCCCGCTCCTCCTGCTCCTCCTCCTCCTCCTCCTCCTCCTCCTCTGGTTTCTCAGACCAGCCTTGGTTCAAGCGAGCTAGCTGCCTGCGCCGCCCCAGGGCTGTACCATACGTGTGCTGACTTTGGCGCCGGTGCCTGGGCGTTTCATTACTGAAGCTGTTCTCATCAGTGAACGCTGGGGTATGCTACCTGGGGCGTGCGTGTCCATCTTCGTCGTCGCTGGCGACCTGGCATGCGGCTCGTTCTGTTTTTCCGCAGTGGCTATTGCCGCGATGCCTACGGGCTTCCCCATGGTGGGACTCGCAGCACTGGCGGCTGGGGCGACGGCGCGGGCCTGTACGCTTTTGGCATCAGCATCGTTCCTTCATCTGGGTTCTTGGCGGCGTCCTCGAGTGGCTGAGCCTGGCCCAGGCCCGCTTGGGCAAAGTCAGACGCTTTGTCTTATGTATGTGCTCTGGGTTCTTGGCGGCGTCCTCGTGTGACCGAGCCTGGCCCGGGCCTGTTTGGGCAAGTAATGCAGACGCTTTGTCTTATCTATATGGTTGGGCGTTGCTTCGTGTGTTCATTCATCTTTACAGTTCTGGAGGTATCAATTTTTCATATCTTGGTACTGTGTGATGTTCTATATTCATCGTTCTCACTTCCGCTGGGTATTTACCATGTGCTAGCGTCTTGCGTGGTGGTTGAGTGACGCCTTCTACCCGCGGATGCTCATGGCACTGTCATTGGGCTGCAAGCACTCACTGGGCGGGGCGCAGGGGTTTCGGCGCATTTGTGCTGTGGTCAGGCGGTTCGTCATCTTTGTGCTTGTCCACTGGTGGCGTGCGGCGTCTTGCAGGCAGTGGGGCTATCATCGTCATGCGTTATGCACGAGGTGGGCCTCGCAATACCTTCAGTCGAGTATTGCGCTGATGGGGGCGGGGTGCAGTGCTTGTACTGCCAGGTGTTCTGAGTCTTCCTCGGTGTCTTCGTGGTGGTCGTGCTGGCCACGCCCGCTCAAAGTTGTCTTGCATCGTTGATGGCGAGAAAACCTCCTCTGGTTTCTCATTGATCCCCCTCTTGGGGTATGACGGCTCCCGAGCCTTTATTCCACTGCATGCTTTCCCACATGCCTGATCAGGGCAACTCGCCTGGGCATCGTTTCTGGATGGGCTGGTGGGATTACGCGGTTACGCGAAGCGTCTAGAATTTCCGACCCTCAAAAGCATTCTGGAGGTCTCTCGGGACCTCCAGGAGGCCTCCGAGGAGAAATGGAAGAGCTGTAGTAGCAGGAGGAGCGAGGAACAGCTGTCTGAGTCCCCTCTTCATCCACCTCCATCCAATGCCGCCCCCTTCTCATCGCTATTGTCGTCCCCTTCTCCTAACTCCTCCTCCTCCTCCTCCTCCTCCTCCTCCTCCTCCTGACTCCTCCTCCTGCTCCTGCTCCTCCTCCTTCTCGTTATGTTTTCCCTCTCCCTCCGAGCTCCCTCCGCCATGCACTCCCCCACCTCTTGCACCTCTTCCTCGAACCCATCTCCCTCCTCCACTTCCTAACTCCTACCTCTGACCCTCCTGCTCCTCCTCGCCCCCCTCTTCGTCCTCTACCACCTGGTTCTCTCCCTCTAGCAGGGAGGACGATGTGGTGAGGAGATAGAGACAATGCTGACACGAGCGGTCAGAGGCCCCCAAATCCTCCCGCGGAGCAGGTGGACGCTGCCGGAGAAGCTTGCCTGGGCGGGAGGAGGCAGTGGGCAGTGAGAATGGATGGCGCAGGAGTAGGAGGACAGAGGCGGAGGAGGAGGACGAGGATGAGGAGGACCTGCGTAAACCCACGACGCATCAACGATGTTGAAATGAACCCTCCCTCCAGGTTCCCTCCTTCCTCATCTCCCCTCGAGCTTTCAGCCGAGCCCTTCACATGGTGGCAACAGTCGCCAAAGCAGGCCCACGGATGATGCGCCACCTTCGAGACGGGCCGAGCTGCTGAATTCGGTGATCCGCATCCTGCCAACATGTATGCGTGCGTTGCGGACGAGGATGGAGATGGCCGCGGCCCGGCTGGCCTCCTCGGCAACGCTGTAGGCGGGGTTCTGGGCGTCGTAGAAGATCAGCTGGACGCCCAGCTCCTCTGGGACCTCCCCGCGGTCCACCTTCTTGGAGTTCAGTGTGCTTCTCCTTCCTCCTCTTTGCCTCCCTTGTTCCTGCCCCGTTCCCTCGTTTCCTCCTCGTCCTCCTCTTTCTCTTCCTCCTCTTTCTCCTCCTCCTCCTCCTCCTCCTCCTCCTCCCTGCCTGCCTCAGACCCAAAGCGCGAAAACCCTCTCCACCTCCTCATTCTCCTCCCCCTTTTCCTCCCTCCTCGTCCTCCTCGCCCCATCGACCATTCATCAATATGGATCAATATTTCAATGTGAACCCTGATGATCTGCAAGGTTGCCAACGCCTCTTCCGCGCATTCCCTCCCCTGTTCCTCCACCTTCCCTCCTCTTCACTTTCCTTCCACCCTCCTCCCTCTATCCTTGTTCTTTCTGCTCCTCTCATTCCTTTCCTCCTCCCTCTCAATCCCAGCTCGTTTCAGCTACCTTTTGCTTCCTTTTTGCTCGGCGTGCGCGCTGAGGCCTCGGCATTCGTTCGCCTGCTCCGAACGCGGCGTAACTCCACTGTGCTCGTCGTCTCTTCACCCACCACCAAGATGTCTCCCGACCTCATTCCGTACGTCCTGAACTGCCTGGCCGCTCTGCCCTTCGCGAAGTGAACGGCGGGGCAAGCGCTGCAGATGCCATTTAAAGACTGAGATCCGACTGGGCACTGGACTCGGCTGCTGGAAAATGGACCAGCACAATCGGAAGGGATGGGAGGGACGAGTAGGATGCCAGATGAGCCGCCAGCGCATGCAGCGCGTCCTCTCCCCCCCCTCTGCCTCCCCCCCTCCCCCCGTGGTGCATCTCGGGAAGGCCTCGGGTTACAGAGAGCCTCCCCGGGCATTCGCAGCTGGCCTCAGCAGGCCCCCGCGTAGTCCCAACTGGCCCCAGCAGGCCCCCCCCCGAGGAGTAGTCCGAGGCGCTCTCAACACCGCGACTCCGGGGCGCGGGGTGCCCCGCGTGCGCCGCCGGAGGCGGCGCCAGGGTGCCGCGAGACCGCCCCTCTCCACCCGGAGGGCCCGTTGAGGCCAGCCAGGACTGCTTTGGGGGGGGCTGCCGGTGCGCAGCCCGGGGCCTGGCCGCTGCCCCTCCTCCTCCTCCTCCTCCTCCTCCTCCTCCTCCTCCTCCTCCTCCTCCTCCTCGTACCTCCTCCTCCTCCTCCTCCTCTCCTCCTCCCTCCTCCTCCTCCTCTCCCTCCTCCTCGTACCTCCTCCTCGTACCTCCTCCTCGTACCTCCTCCTCCTCCTCCTCCTCCTCTTCCTCCTCCTCCTCGTACCTCCTCGTACCTCCTCCTCGTACCTCCTCCTCCTCCTCCTCCTCCTCCTCCTCCTCCTCCTCCTCGTACCTCCTCCTCCTCGCGGGGCAGCCGGGGGCGCTCCGTGGGCTGGGAGGCCCACGAAGCTCTTTGGGCGCCTCGCCCCATCATCCACCTTCCGGGGCTCCGACAGCTCCCCAGAGACCAGGTCGGAGCGGTCACGCCTGCCGCTCGGGGAGGCAGGTGCGGGGAGGGGGCCAGGACCCCACGCGGGCGGGGGCATCGGGGCGGGGGAGGGGGGAGGGAGAGAGGGGAAGAGAGAGGACGAGACGGGGGAGCAGCGAGGGGGGGACGAAGGGAATGGGGAGAGGAGGGGAGTGCGGGGAGGAGGAAGGGAAGCAGGAGGATGGTCGGAGGGCACCAACTATACACCAACACCGATCCTGGCCCAGGATCACCCTGGGCCCAGGATCGGTGTATATGCCTTCTTGCGCAAGGCAGGAGGGCGTATACACCGATCCTGGGCCCAGGGTGATCCTGGCCAGGATCGGTGTTGGTGTATAGTTGGTGCCTTCCTAATCGATGGGGGGGAGGTGTGGGAGGGCGTGAAGGTTTCACTGCCGCCGCGAGCTACGCCCAGCAGCCAGGGGAGTGGCAACCCTACTCCTTGAATTTCTGATGAAGAGGACGGAAAGATGAGGGGCAAGAAGGATGAGCGGGGTGTACTGGGAGAAGGGAACGACAGTGCGGAAGACCAGTGCGGAGGGGACAACCCCCCTCCATCGCCTGCCTCCCCCACCTCCTCCAATATGCGGGATGGGGGGGGATTGGAGGAGGACCTCCTCCGGGGAGCGAGGGGGAGGGGGAACGGACGAGACAGGGGAGGGGTTGTCCCAAACCCCACTGCTGTGGCCCCCGTGTTGCAACCGACCAGGTCCTCGTCAGGAACCTGCCGCCGCCGCACCTGGGGGCGAAGGCTTCAAAAAGCAGCTCGTGGCCGCGGGCCCCGCGGCCCTCCTCGATAGCCATCCCCCCAGATGGACGACGAGGAGGGCGGATGGGGAGGGGTGAGCCCGCCCAGGCAGGGAGCTCTCGCTTCTGCTGCTTCAGACTCCTGGGCACTTCGACTCGCACTGGAAGAGCTTGGCGTTCTTCAGCGCGCCGCGCAGCTGGCCGATGACCCTGTGGTCTCTAAGGGCATGCTGTGCACATATCCCGCTCCCCCAAGGGATACCCCTAGGCGATCGATGCTTTATCCATTCCCCCTGCTCACGCCTTAACCCAACGAGGGGCCACAGTGGCGGCATATACAAACATCTGGCCTCTGAGGCCGAGGTATCTTTCATCCATGCCCTGCTCCCCCTGGGGCTCAGAGTGGGAGGCAGCAGCAGGGGTAATGGATCGAACATCGATCGCCAAATCCCCAAGAAGGGACAGCTGGATGAGTGGAGGGGGGAAGAGAAGGGGGAAATGAGGGCGAGGGGGCAAACATTGTGTGCAGGTTTCTCCCCTTGGCGGGGGGAGATGTCGCGTGACACGCCCTCCTTTAGGAGGACCTCCGCGCACGGGGGGGGGAAGGTTTGCACGGATCTCTCACGACGGGACCTGGAGTCCAGGCTCAGCACCGCCAGCTCCTCTGGGTAGAGCTTGTCCACAGTCCTCCCCGCGCTCCTCACCGGCGGCGCGCAGAAGGGGCTAGGTCCAGGGAAGGGGGGGGGGCAGGCTTCTGCAAAGGCAGGAGGGCTCTGAGAAGGGCTCAGAGGCTACCAAGAGGGCCTCTTCCAAATGGGAGGGCGAACAAATGCCTATACCGCTGCTCCCCAGACCTCTTGTGAAGTGCGTTCCGGTCAGGACTCCGAGGCGTAGCGGTACCCATCGGTCGGAACAATTGGACAGAAACGTGCAGTAGGAAGGCGTTGACAGTATATTGGATCTCCGCCCGCCCCCAAAACAAAGAGAATGAGAAAGCCAACCGATCCTTGAAGGAGGAAGACGCCTAAAACAGACTGGAAGGTGGGACTCACAAAACACTTCTAACGACCGACGGGTATCGGCATGTCTCTCCCGTGAAGAGAGCCTTCCCCTCCATCGCCCCGCCCGGGGCACGAATTCAAAGAGAGCCGCAGGATAGGAAGGCTGTGAGCGCGCCGCTGACCTCTGCTCGTGCGTGGTGGTGGCGAGGCTCGACCAGAGGATCAAATCGCTCTTGGCCTTCTGCGACGAGAACCACATGCTGGGGAGGCCGAACCTGGGGAGGACGCCGTGCGCTGCGCGCCACTCCTCCTTACGCCTCCCGCCTGGCTGCTTGGCCCCTATCGTTGTGGATGCCATGACGATGGACACTCTAACAACCCCACCATTGAATGACATCTGTGCTTGAAATGTGTAAAACGTGTTCTCAAAACGCTTCAAACATGCTGTCACATGTTGAAGACAAGCTTGGCACATGTGTTAGACCTCTGGGAATTGTTTGGCATCTGGGAATCATCTGGGAATTATATTGGACGCCCGAATTATCCGGGGTAACTCGGGTCCGGGGTAACTCGGGTTTGAGTTCCCGAAAAACGAACCCGAGTTATCCCTGACCCGAGTAATCCCTGATGATTCGGGGCCCTGGACGCCCGAGTTATCCGGGGTAACTCGGGTCCGGGGTAAGTCGGGTTCGGAATCCCGAAAAACGAACCCGAGTTATCCCTGGGAGTTATTTGGCAGCACGCTCCCTCCCCACCAAACCGACTTCCACAACCCGATCGGCGACCAATGGGCGCTCAGGGGCCGAGGCGTCCCCCCTGGGCACGTCCCCCCCACCTTGCCCCTTGGCTCTCGGGCCCTGGCCCGGCTCTCGAGGAGGGAGGAGGAGGGAGGAGGGAGGAGGGAGGAGGGAGGAGGAGGAGGAGGGAGGAGGGAGGAGGGAGGAGGGAGGAGGGAGGAGGGAGGAGGGAGGAGGGAGGAGGCTCGAGACGACCTGGGACCCCCCAACCTTGCCCAACCTTGCCCAACCTTGCCCCCCTGGCTCTCGGGCCATGGCCCGGCTCTCCGGCGTCGACCTCGCGACGACCTGGGACCCCCCCCCCGACCGCTCACGGCGAGGCGCCGCTGCGCCCCTCCGCACTCGCCTACGGCAGGCTCGTGTCGTGCCGACCCCGGCGTTGGTTTTTGACACCGCAGGGATCGTTCAACCTTGAACGATCGGCCCTTTCCGAGACGTGCGATCCTTCAACATCGATCGAGTCTGGGTCGCCGGCGGCGTTCAACCTTGAACGCCCGCGCTGGGGTCGCCGCTGGTCGGCACGACGCAAACCTACCGTATGCGCTCTCCTCCCATGGCCTTGGGAGCTGGCGCGCGCATTCCATTCATTGGCCAGCCCGACTGGCCAGAGGCGTGCCAAACTCTCCGGCAAGAGCTGAGTTGTTGATCTAGTTCGCGCGCGCGTGGCGGCCCCTGGGGGGCCCCGGTTGAAACATACCCCAGCCGCAGCCGGACAAATCCCCGGCCACCCTTTGGTCAGAGCTGGCTTTGCTCTTGGGTGTGACCCTCCAGGCTCCCCAGAGCGTTCCAAGAGCGCCCCGAGGGACCTCCAAGAGCGCTCAAAATGGTCCGAGACGGTCCAAGGGAGCTCCAATGCACCCTAGAGAATCTCTGGATAGCTCGGAACGCCTCCGAAACTCTCCACAGAACCCTGGGGCAAAACTCTTTGATACCCTTATCGGTTTGAATGATTTCTCGTTCTCGCCTTTTCGTGACTGCGGCCCTCCAAGACGGTCCAGGAGGTCTTCAACGTCGCCCCAGGACAACCCTGGACACTCCCATGAGGGCTTCAATACGGCCCACTAGGCCCTCAAAGAGGGCTCGAAAGGCCCCGCAGGGGACCCCAGCAGATACATCCGAATTGCAATTTCGAAGGCCATGCTAAAAGCGGCCTCGAGCATTCCGACGGCCCCTTCTCCCGAGACGCGTAAAAATTACCCTGTGACGTACCCTGTGACGTAAACATTACCCTGTGATATGATGGCTTTTTATACAATATGTATGTATGAATAGATCGCATTCCCTACGACCAGACGCCAACAACGTCCCAAAGCGGCCCAAAATGGTCTCACGATGGCCCTCGATGCCCCCAACACGCCCCTCGAGGCTTCCAAGAGGCGTCCCAGTGACGGAAATCATTGATTTTCACAAAGATATTGGAAATTTTCAGCGCTCTCGCCTTTCCGGCTTTCCCATGCCCCAAAGAAAACCAATAAGCCTCTAGGCCCCTCAATGAACCGCGAAGTCTCGGTCTCGGCTGGGTCTGTTAACCACTCCGCTCCGCTGGGCCTCCCAGAAACCCACAAAAATGACGACAATTGTGCACTTCGCAACCCCCCAATGACGCGCGAAGTCTCGGCTGGGTCTGTGTACCACTCCACTCCGTTGAGCCCCCGCAGGAGCCCACGACATTGGTGATAAATGCGCATTTCGCTGCCCCCCAATGACCCGCGAGGTCTCGGCTGGGTGCGTTTACAACTCTACTCCGCTGAACCTCTCATGAGCCCGCGAAAATGGGCAATGTTGCGCTTCGCAGCCCCCACAGAGAGCCGCGAGGTCTCGTCTGGGTATTTTTACCACTCCACTCCGCTGAACCTCTCATGAGCCCACGAAAACGGCGAGAGTTGCACAGTTCGCAACCCCCCAGGGGGAGGAAGGAGGATGAGAAGGAGGAGACCCGTTCACAGCGCTCTATTCAAAACGAGAACCCAACTGCTCCGATAGCCTCGAATGGCCGTTTAGCTGGGGACATCTTCGACAGATCGGCTTCGGAAGGGATGCTGCATCATGCCAGGCTCCGTGCGCATACCCTTGACCAAATATCCCATCACGCATGTCCCTGCACCCGCACTCCTGGGACACGTGAAAATACTAGTGACCTGCGCTCTCATGCTCTTGGGACATGTGAGAATCCAAACGGTTCGAGCCTCGAAGCTCCCGAGAGACGCACAACTACTAATAGTTTGCCTTTCTGTTCTGATGGAGTCCTCAATTCTGCACGCCCCTCGTGCACTTCGTTCATGTTGGGCGCTCAGCTGGCCCCCGAGACGGTTCCTTTGAGCCTCCATTCGGCAGGCCCCTCACGCACTCAAGGCCCCATGGAACCCAACAGGTCCTAGCTCGCCCCCAAGACCGCCCAATCCCCCAAGTGGAGCAAATACAGCCCCAAGAAGCATTGCAACGAATGGGACCGACCCTCGTCGAAGCCGTACCCCGAACACCTAACAAGCTTGCGACATTGGCATGTGAGTTTCCCCCTCGGGGGCCCGCTGTGATTCCCGCTCTGCGGGCTCAATATACAATGGCATTGGAATGAATAGCTGCAAAAGAAAATCGGACGCAACCCTTACTACACACATATATATATACATACATATAAATGTATATGTTGTGTTTTGTTGTGTTCCCGGACATTGCAAATTCATTGCCGCAAACGCAGCAACATATATTCGTTCGAAGACAACTGGGTGCGCTGGATTGAGTTCCTCTCAGAACTCGTCACCGTAGTCTGAGCAGTTTGGTGGCACTGTCGCTCTAGCAAGTCTTGGGTTGACATTGAATAGTGCAAACCTGTGGCGCCCGAAATTGGAGCGTCGAAGGATTCTCACGTGAGCTCATTCGATAATCGGGTCGCGCCGGCACGGCTGCAGACAAATAGTCTGGCTCAGAACTCGTCGCCATAACCCTCCTCCTCGCCCTCCCTCGACGGCTTCGACGCCGACCTCCTCGCAATCCTTCTCCAGCGCAGCCAAATCCCCGCGGTCATCTGAGAACTCGCCCTCCTCCGTGCCCTCGCCGACGTACCATTGCACGGGCACGCTTTTGGAATGCACGAGGTCGAACTTGTGGTCGATGCGGGAGAATACTTCCGCGATGGCCGTGAAAAATGGGTCATGCAACATGCGCGCATCACCGTAGCCAAATCACCACCAGGTACCATGGCGGGCGGCTGATAGTTGATGCCGACATTCCTTGCCTAAGCTGCCCTGGCATAAAAACCGACCACCTCTGGACCAACCTGGATCAGCCTACTCCCCTTTGGGGGAACATCGACACACGCGGTTCCACTGCCCTCTGGCGTTTCGCCATCGTGTCGCGCGTTTGAATCAAGACGGCCACGGGTGCTCGGCGAGGCGCAGCTACTCTGCAGCGCACGGACCCGCTGCCGCGCGGCACCCGCGCGGCAGCTTCACACCAGGACCCGAAACCAAGGGGCCCCTGGACATGGCACTCCCCGCACTTCCAGCGTAAGTTCCCGTGCTCGTAGGCGAGCTCGCGGCTGCCCCGATGCGCGGCCAGCCACTTCTGGATGCCCTCCTCCCCTTCCTGCCGCTCGCGCTTCGCCGCCTGCGCACTGCCGTCGCACTTGGCGCGGGCCAGATTGCTGGCCCCGTCCTTCCACTGCCGGCGGCGTTCGCAAACGGTGCGCCAGATGAGGCCCGCGTCCTCCGTGAACGGCGCCTTCCCGAGCCTGCCGTTCTACTTCAACTGATACCTGCCACCGTTGTATTTCTGCAGCTCTTTCTCGACGCCCTGCAAGCGCGCTGAGCAGCGCCGCGTGCCAGGCTGCGAGAGCCGCTGCGATTGAGGCAAGCCCTTCTGCGGGCGCGCCTTGCAAATGATCTTCCGCCTCGCCTTCGCGCCCACAGTCTGCGATCTGCTCGCCGCCCCTGGCGCAGATGGCGCCGCGACCGCTCCGGGCGCTGGGATAAGGTGGCCGTCGCGCGTCTTGGCAGGAGCCACGCCCGGCGGCGCCTCGCTTCCAAGGGCCACTTGCGCCCCTCCATGGCAACTCGCCCTGGCGCAAGCGGCGGCGGCGCATCGGCGGCAGGCGCGGACTTCCGCGTCAGCCGTCGCCGCCCGCCAGCCGCTGGCGGCCCAGGCCCTGGGCCGGGCCCCTCCGCCGCGCCGCCGTCGCACCAGGCGCGGGCGCGATGTTGCCGTACGCCCGCCAGGGAGCACTGAATCTCAACGAAATGCCTCTTGGTCAGGGCGGAGGCCTCAAACGCAATAGTCGCGCACTGGAAGCGCATCAGCCGGTCGGCGCACGGGCCGCCCAAAGCTGCCGAGTCTGGCGCCCGCTAAGTGCTCTGCTGCAGGCGCGCCCGGGAGACGCGGGCGATGGCCCCCCTGCCGAGGCCGCGCGAGCGCGGCGAGTTGCCCCCCTTCCCCCGAGCAAGGGGCCTGCAATGAAGCGCCTGAGCGCGCCGAGCTTCGCCCGTGGATCATCGAGAGACGGAGGGGTGTCCTGCGCGTGACCTGTGCCCTGCTGGCGCTGGAGCGCGTCGACCTGCGTCTGCAAATCCCGCAAATGACTTGTAGACTTCTCCTTGCGATCCGCGCCGCGCGTGGCACCATCCGCGCGTGGCCCGCATTTCGGGCCGCTGCCGCCGGAGCCTCTGGCGCCGCGCGCCCCGCGGGCCACGGCGCCGCGCGCCCGCGCCCAGCTGCTCTGCGCGCGCTGTCTGCTGGACAAACGGCCGTATCTCGGCGCGCCCCGCGTCTCGGCGCAGGCGAGCAACGGGGCGATCTGCTCCCCGAGCCGGCGCCGCGGGGACAGCGCGGATCTCGCTGCGAATCGCGGGGTCGCTCGCGGCCCGCCGCGCGCCGTCGAGACCGGCGCGCGTGAAGCCGCGAAGCGGATCAAGGGCAACGGGCGTCGAGATTGCGAGCGGAATCTGCGCGCCGCTTGAGCGCCGGCCCATGCCTCGCGCCGCCTCGAACACCTCCGCGCGCGGCCCGTGCAAAGCAATCGGGGCGCTGGGCGCGCGGCGAGACCCGTGTCCAGGACCCGCATATATATATATATATATATATATATATATGTATATGTATATGTATATGTATATGTATATGTATATGTATATGTATATATATATATATATATATATATATATATATATATACATATATATCGCTACCGCGGGCTAGTTTTATATATCGTTACCGCGGGCTGGTTTTCTGTCGTGGGGGTATATCGGGCTATTGATTCGGCGGTGGGTTGCGCTGTGCGTCAAATCTCGCGGCGATGACACGTCGCGCATGCGGCGTCATTTGGGCGCGCGGTTGCACGCGGAAGAAACAACTCATTCACGCAGTGTCTATTTCGGGGCGCTGCGTAGAATTCCCTGGGTGACCATCCTTTTTCTACGCCGCCACCGCGCTGCCATTGGGTGCTCGGGAGCAATTATTCTTCGCGACCGAATGCGGCCGCCATCTGCGCGCATGACCACGCGGCAAGTGCATTCGCTCGGCGGGGGCAGGCAGCGGCGCCCCTGTCAGGGCGGTCGCGCGCAGGATTTCCCCTTTCCTGTGGCCGCCTGGTGGCGGGCCCTGCGCCCCCGCGAAGCCTGCGAGGCTGTGGCCCGGAGAATCGGGCGCGCTGCAGTCGACGGTCCTGCGACGTGCAGGGCGACAGGCCAGGCGGCGCGCCCGCGGACCCGCGCGCTGCGTCAGCGGCCCCGGCGGCGGCGGAGGCCGCAGCGGCGCCAGCGGCTGGGACGGCGGCGCGCGCGCTGGCATTCGCGGCGGCGGCGCACGCGCCTGCGGCCACGGCGGCGGCGCTGGCGGCCGCGCGGCGCTCGCGGCGCTTGTGCCCGTGGCGCCGGTGGCGCCGAGGCGCCGACGGCGCGCGGCGCCCGCAGTGCCCGCGGCGCCAGCGGCACCCGCAGTGCCGTCCGCGCCCGCGGCGTCCGCCGCGGTCGCAGCTTTGGCGGAAGCGGCGGCGCTCGCGGCGCCGGCCGCGCTCGCGGCGCCGGCCGCGCTCGCGGCGCCCGCGGCCTGCGGCCGTTGCGGCGACGGTGGCGCCGGCGGGCGGCCTCCGTGGCGCCGACGGCGCAGACGGCGCCCGCAGCGCTGCCAGCGTCA